CTTAGCGACGGAAATTCTAGTCCCAATTGCAGTGGTGAACTCCCCGTTTCCCAGCCTTAATGGAATTCTCTCTTGCAACAGCATTAACATTGGGATGTGGAGATAGCAGGCTGGAAACCTGGAGGTGAAGAATTTGAGGCTCCGTGTTTTAGAGTCTCCTCTTTTTTAAAAACGTGGGGGATTTTATTACAAAAAAAAAGCAATAAGCTGCAGAAATTGGAAGACAAGAGGTGGCGATAAACAGCATCCTTGATTAAAAAAAGAAAAGAACTAACAAAAGAGGCGGCAGAAACAAGGCAATTAATTTGGGGAGCATCCAGGGAGCCCGTTTGAGTCGTCCCCGGCCTTTCGGCTTCGCAAAACACTCCGCGCGCACCTAGATCAAAAGATTTTAAAAACAAGACGCCAAAACAATTGCCCGGTGCATATATAGTAAGCCGCACCGCCAGCAGCGAAGACACACGTAATTTGCAGAATGGGAGACAAAAGAACCAGCTTGCGCTCCCTAAGAAGCATCTCACGCATTTCGACAATCAAAAGCTTTTGGGGTTTGTTTTTTTTTGTTTTGAAATAAAAAGGTTTTGAGAGGGATTGAAGCTAAATCTAGGACTGGGAGGAAACATTTCACCGGTGGGGCAGCTAGGAAAAACGATCGGAGGGCACGTAATTCGATTTATTCTGTTTTTAATTGGTGGATAATTAATTGCAAAAACCGGGCGATTCGCCTCCTCCCCCACCCTGGAAAAAAAATAATCTGCTTTTATGGTTTGCAAGAGAATGACTGCCTAACAGCCTTCGGTGTCGTTTTAATCTGGTCCTCGTCCAAAATCGCTGTTGCTAAATGAGACACTTGTTAAGCGGGTTTTCTTGCCGCAGTTGTTCAGGAAATCACTGCAGTGAAGTTAGTAATACGGTGGTACCAATTTAAAAAATTGCAGGCATTCCCTGAACAATTGTGACAAGGAGGATTGTCAAACGGGGCAAAAACTGAACTTAACAAACCTCTCGGTTAGCAACAGAAAATTTCGGCTCAGTTATGGCCTACCTGTATTGTATTTTTTGCAGTATTGTATTTTTTTTTAAATCTTTTTAATACTTACAAGCCTGCCCTGGGTTACCCTGTGGTAGGATGGGTGGCCAAGAAAATTAATAAATAACAGCTGGGAAAGAAGAAAGGAAACCGAAGTCTGTATTTTTGGAGGGAGGCTCAATTGGCGCGTTTTGACGGCGAGCTGAGATCTGAACAGGTCCCCCTCCCAGTTTCAAAGCACAACCTGCCCCATAAAAATGAAAAGACACAAGTTTATTTTGTCAACGTTTTTATTATTAACCGGATAATCCTCGTTGGGGCAAACCAAGAGGGGAAACTTCATTCTGGCAAGGGGGCTGTCAGCCTCTCATCGTTCACGAACGGAAAAGTAAAATAAGATTATATATTTACAGAAGATGGAATGGGTGGGTTTTATTTTTTTTTTGGAAAGGGAGGGGGAGAGAAAAGGCTCAATTATCTTTCCTTGGCTCAACAGCAGGCGAACCAGGAGCAATTAATTCGACAATTAATCCCACCAGGCTAGAACATTTGGCTTCCCCCAAAGTTTAATGCAAAGGTAGGACTGGTTCCCCCCCCCCTGCAAATGGGAGAGAAAACTTTGCAAACTTTGGGCTTGCCTCCATTTCCCCCCCCCCCCCCCATTGGGATCCACAGGCCCACTTGGAAAAGATCGGCCAGACTGGAGGTGTCCACTTCAGCTGTGTGACTCTTAACGCCGGCTCGCTGTCAATGGACGGTGTTGTGTTTTCTGAAATGTGTTGCACCCACGCCCGTGCGTGCACGCTGCCCTGTGGTTCTTTCAAAGGGAAGGATTGTTCTGGAGAGCCAAGGGTTTGCCTTTTGCCCCGTGGGAGAACGTCGGTTTTTAAGCCCTCGGCTGGGGAAAGGATGCCAAGAGTCCCTGGGGCAAAATTGTGGCCTCTTGCAATGAAAAGAAGTGGAAATAATAATAATAATAATAATAAAAGGAGAGAAATCCCTACAAGGAGGGATCCTTTTGTGATTACAACATGTAATAATGTGAATTTTGTTGATTTCAGCCCTTCTGCACCTCACCTGTTATTTTCCTAGTGAACAAGCGGGGCGGAAGTCCCGACGGAGCCAACTTTGTGGGTGCAGAAGGGCGCAAAAGTTAGAAAGTTGGGGAGCAAGCAGGGAGGTGTGCCTCTTGTCCTCTTCACATGGCTGCGATCCCAAGGGAAGAGAGAACCGTCAGGACGAGGACTAGAGCTCCAGACTGGTACAACTGGGGTATCTTGAAACCTACGCCCAGGTCCCAGGCCTACAAAAGAGGGAGACAAGGAGGACGTCACAACAGAAGGAACTAGATCAGTGGTTCTCAACCTTTTTAATGCCGCGACCCCAACCGGTCGTAAGTCGAGGACTAAACCGGTTGTAAGTCGAGGACTACCCAACCGGTCGTAAGTCGAGGACTTTCCCTGCCCGGGAGCGCCGCGCATGCGTGGTTCCGCCCCCTGCGCCAGCCGAGGCGTAGCTGGCAAGCGGCAGAGACGGAGCAGGCAGACCACCAGCCGGCCCAGCCCAAGGGAGGTAAGGCACCCGCCGGAAAAGAGGGAAAAAATGGCGGACAAAAAAAAATGGCGACCCCCATGAAATGGTCGATCGACCCCAAATGGGGTCCCAACCCACAGGTTGAGAACCACTGAACTAGATAGAATATAGACTAGAATAGTCAAAGAGTTGTACTCCTTTGGCATCTTCACATTTGGCGGGATTTTCTACGGCACCACTTCCAGTGTGGTGTCGGTTCGTGATAACGCTCGTCCGCACACCGCTAGACTCACTCAAGAACTTTTGAAGCAGTTTCTTTGGGATGTTTTTGATCACACACATACACACACACACACACACACACACCATAGTCCAGGTTTGACGCCGAGCGACGCCGACTAAGGAATTTCAAACCTTGTAAGACGTTACGACCGGTGCCTCAATTTGAAGGGTGCTTACGTCGAAAAGTAATTTAATATTGTAGCTTTCTACGGTGTGTAATAAAAATTCTGTATCTGCGAGCGTCCGTCATCGATAACCCAAACGGAGGTTCCTTTCAGAATTGTCTTCGGACATTCACCCGGACAAGATTCCGTCGATGGAGCGTTACCCTAAAGGAGAATTAACTCACCTCTCCTCCATGGCTTGCCCCTGCAAGGCTGACATACAAGGGGTAGTAGCGGCTGCTCAAAAGGCTGCTTACCAGATGCCGAATCCCGTTCCAGGTGTGGTAGGTGACAGGTAGGGACAAAGCGAACTTGGCTGAATAGATCAGAGCGGGCGCCAGGCTGAGTGACTTGATCAGGTCCAGGTAGTCGGAAAAGTGTCCAGGAAGAGCCAAGGCACTTAAGGCGAAGAGCGA